AAAAAAAAAAAAAAAAAAAAAAAAACTGATATTATACAAAATTGTCCGTCGTCGGTATCCTATAATTTTACAAATATTTCGAACGCTTTTATTATTATTATTTTTTACTGGATAAGGTTTTTTAAAAAAAAAATCAAACACGTTTTATTACTCTGAGCATATGAATCCATCTCATAATTTTAATTTTCAGTACTTATTATGGAAATAAGCCAAATATTTGAAAATTATATTAGGTTATCATAAAAATATAAATTATATAATAATTAATTAATAAAACTAATAATAATTGGGAAAAAACAGAAAAAAAAATATGAAATGTAAAAGAAAAGCAAACGAATTTGAGACATTATCGATTTCATTGTTTTAAGTTTGTACGATTTTTGTTTTCTATCAACAATTTTAATTCAAATTTCAAGAGAAACATATTTTTTAAAAAAAAATTGTTATTGGTTGTTATATAATAAAGTCATTTTCTTGATTTTTCATGTGTGTTTTTTTTAATTATTGAGAAAAATAAAAAAGTTTATCACTTTATGTAATGAATTCATTATTTTTTATTTTGTGAATCGATTAATATTCAAAATATTCTGGTGATTTTTCAGGTGTTTAAGGGCATTTATCCTTATTTGAGTTTATTTTAAAAATATAAAAACAAACAGCTTTAAAAAATTACTATACCATTATTTTTTGTCACTCTTGAGTTTGGGTATAAAATGGCTACTAATTTTTTAAACGCAACCTGTATATAAAATGCAAAAAAAAAAAAAAAAAAAAAACAAAAGAGCCGTTACTCCGGACGGGTGCAGCAACTGCAGTAGGTGGGTAAATGGAAAGGTCAAATTTAAAAAGTTATTTAATTTATACCTGTTACCAACAATAAACCATCGCTAGCGAAAAACGATTCGGAGCGGCAGCAATATTCAGTTATACATGTTTTTAAAGGTCGTAAATTTTACGGTTTTCATCGAACTTTGATTTTAAAACTCTAAGAAATAAAAAACTACACAGCACTCAAATTTTTTTGACCACTAAGTACGACTTATAGTGAATTTCCTAATAAATTTTCAAGCATTTCTGTTTTGTCTAGCAATTTTATTCACAGAGTGTCTACCAAATAAAAATTACGTAAAAAACTTACAAAATTACAATAAATAAAAGTATAATTCTCGTACATTTTGCTGTTCTTTCTGTGTATTTGCGGTTTTGCTCAATTATTAAAAATAACTACACAGAATATCAATAAACTACTTTCTTCGTCATAACTAGATTAAAAATTCAGCAATAAAGTTTTCTAGTTGTTTTTTTGGAGCAATATTTCAGGTAGAAAATGAAAAGCGTAAAAATTTAAAATAATGAAATCGTAATGCCGTAAATTGTTCTGTTTTCATTTTACGTGTTTTCCCGGTTTCTCCCCATTTATCCTGAACACTTTTGGAACAATCAAAATATGACTTTCAAAAGTACCGCCCCAGTCAGATTTCCTTTTTGAAAAAGTGCCCTACTTGAAAATCGGTGAAAAATTCTGGTATAAAAATTGTCACATAAAAAAAACGGTCATATATAATTTTAGAGTTGTTTCTTAAATGTTTGTAACAATAAAATTCCGAAAGAAGTCTATGCGCTCCGAGATAATACGAGTGTCTTATGTTATTTTGATCATTCTGTGTCGATCGATCAATTAAAATGAAAAGACACGTCTGGTCGTTATCGGTGAGGTCGGTAATTGTTGACCGGCCATAAGTGAATATAATAATTAATAACATAATATACTATCGCAATCGGCCACCACTTTGCTTTTCGTCGTATATCAGTTTACAGTGATTAAATCCGTGTTTGTGTTTTAGGACGAAAACAATATGTATCTCCATCAGATTGTTCGACGTCGGTATTAATGAATTCATTTTTTTTTTTTTCTCTAATTGTATTTTTACTTGAACGCGAAATGAAGATCGTCATAAGCCTGTGCCTGATAATCATATGCTTCGCGTCGGCGAAAAGTAAGTGAAATTATCTGGGTGAGATGGATGCGTGGAGGGACGGTACTGTTTAAGATGATTATAATTATTAAAAAAACTACGGAAATCGATTCAAAAGCGGTATCAGAAATCGCATATAGTACCATGGTAGGTTAGGTTAGGTTTATAGTATAATAGTGTTGTAGAAAATATTATCTTGAATTTAATCAATAAATCAAGTTTTTGTCCCTGTCATATTTTTATGTCGACTGAGACATGTCGATTTGTAATTTCTTGAAACAAACTGCCTGTATAAAATGAAGTAGGTATACACATTTTTGGTTATTCTTTACGATAGTTAAAGTGCACTAAAATAGCTTTGGCGAAAAATTAAAATTTGATAAATATTAAAAATCATTATATATATATAAAAAAATACAAATAATGGAACTAAAACATTTTGAACCATTCTATGCATAGTTATAACTTATAGCTTATAATATTTGTTTCTTGTATATCATACAGCATACAGCCGTACCGCTACAGGACTGTCAGAACTATTTTTAGATCTAAAAAAAGGCTTGTACAAATCTATCGATCGGCGTTTGTCACTAACTCAAAAAATTAAGTTAATAATAATAATCTTTTTTTTTTTTTGATTTAATAGTATATCGTATATAAAAGAAATGTGAACTTTTGTAAGTATATATGTATACCCGTACGCCGAAACGCCTTTCGCCAAGATGTCCTAGGAACCTTAGCAGTCGGCGATATTTTGATTTCTAAATCGGTAAACAAGTAAATTATTAACTGCGTTCGGTCGAAGTCTATGGAAATAAGAAAAACAAGGGGTTCTCCGTATTTGCATACTAATACTAATGCGAAATCAATATCAATATAGTTATTGCATAAATATCCAATTATATTCTCTACATTTTTTATAATAACGTAAACTTTCAATAGTGTCAATGTGTCATTCTTGGTTTACGGCAAATTGTAAATGGTAATTGCCGATTTAAAAATCAGAATACTGCTGATTGCCGAGGACTCGTTCCTATACTATAATTTTTTTTTTTTTATATAAAAGTTATATCCTAAAAAATCTAGGAAAACAATTTTTTAACAAGTTGTATAGTTGCTGGCGGCTCCCTGTTATTAAGAAAATGCCGAATGATAATTAATAAAAATCCAATCAGAGGGAGGAGACCCACCATCCCTCATCGCTGCCGGCCCTGCTTCTCCTTTTCGCACCACCGGCTTAATACATAATATTTTTTTTACACTTTATATTAATTAAAATGTGATAATTTTACCGTTTGGTTTAAATATAAAAATGAAAAAAGAACAGACATACTTCGCACGTGGGTGTAGCCCCTGTTGTAGGTTGGAAGTAAGGAAATTAGGATACAGACGGGAATTTAATGTATATCAGTAAGCAATAATAAACTATTGCTAACTAAAAAATGATTCTGAGCGGAGTTCAATTGATAATGTTGCTTTGACAACAATACAATATATGGTATATGTCATATTATGGTAAAATTATTATACAATGTGCGTTTCCATGATAACAATTGTTTAAAAAAATATTAAAATAATAAAAACTTAATAAAAAAAAAAATAAATAAAGACGGTTGTCAATGACAATTTTATTTTTAATCTTTCAAACTTTTTTAATCTAAAAACCGAGGTTTCCCTCATTATCTCAATTATGAATAAGAATTTTAAAAAGTAATTTCTTTAAAATACTACCCAGAGAACATTTACTTTCAAAAATGGTGCTATACTTGATAATTGGAGTAACCTTTCTGATAGAAAGAGTGTTCACATTAAAAAAAAAAAATAAACATCATTGTAAAACCAATGAATCCTCGTTCCACTCAGAATCTAAAAACATAATAATAATATACGGGTAATGAGTATGATAATATTTATGACTCGACCAACATGAATGTGTCGTACATTTTAAATATTTAATGGTCGATTTACGGTTTTTTTTTACGCGATTCTGTGATAACGGTCAATTATTTTAATTACAGAATGTTAACAATTTAAGATGACTGTGTGTCGTGATACTAGATAATAAACTAATTAGTAATAGTATTAACGTGGCCAATTTAAAGAACAACTATAAAATAATAAATACCTTTTATAAGTTTAAAAAAAAAAAATAAAAATATATCGTACCGGTGAATTAAAAAAATGTTATTCGACCTTAATTCTTCAATAGGTGCCGTGTATAGTTTTGGAAAATAAGCTTAACTAAACCGTCACGTTTAATTTTCAAATAATACTTTACGATTTCCCTGATTGTATTGTACATAATATCTATAAATTAGTATATTATGTCATAACCGAATTTTCAGATAAAATGGATCTAATATTAAAAATTGTATAAAGTAGATTATTTATTATGCACTGACCAAATGATTTTTCGCTTTTAATATTTTATTTGTTTATCAAGATATTCATGTTTTAATTTAACTTGATTTCTGATAATTTTAACTATTGAGAAATACAAAATATTTACGAAATTATTCAGTCAATGTATAACAACAATACAACATATAGGTCCTGTTTTTTTAAACTCATTAACTGGAGGGCCGCAATCGTGACCAAGTGTGAAACGTCACTGCTGATATATTTATTTGTCTGCTTCGGAGTGACAGACAAATAAAACAATTAATATTGGTATAAAAGCCCCTCCTCATTATATCTATGTAATTCGTGGTACCGTATTATAGCGATTCTTTAAGCAATTTTATATTTTTGAGGTTAATGTTTAGATTTAATATAGTATACTGAGGATATTATTAATATCTTACAGTATACTTTAATGTCTATATCTCTTTCTCTCCCTCTCCCTCTATCTCTCTCTCTCTCTCTCTATATATATATATATATCTTTATATCCTAATATATTATATATTACCATATATTTATTTAATGTATTATTTATTTGTTTATATATATATATTATAAAAACATATCATGTTTCATGTTTGAATAGACAAATAAGTAACGACGTTTTATAGATGTTTCCCGTGGTCTTAATTCTGACGACAATAATTCATCTACAACAATTGTAATACCAAACGAAAATTCGTCACAAAATGTATCGGACTATTATCTAGCGGATATCAACGAATTCCCTTATCACGTGAGTAAATTCTTTCATTCTATTTATATAACATACATGTGTTACGTGTAAAGTAATACGATTGGCAGGTAATGTGAAAACTGTTTACACTTATATTAGATAAAATAAAAATATTATTTATAAAACGTTTGTTTCGCACGTTACCTAGCCACCTAGGTAATATAATATCTACCGCCGAGTGAATAAAGTATCGGGGTTGGAATAATTTATTTTCCACATTTTCTCCAATTTCGTAAAATTTAAAAATTATCTTTTATCTTTTGATATAACCACCTAAATGATAAAACATTTCCCCTTATCTACTGTTCGATTCCCATTTGAGGAGTAGAAATATGACAGTTTTTAAGGACAAATACGTTTTAGGCCAATCAAATTGGAAATTCAAATCTTATCTTTAAGCTTGATAATAGGTAAATTCACTATAATATTGAAACTGGCAGCACAAAGTTGTTCTTGCCGAACGAAAATTTGCTGGCATAGGTATGTCTTGTTCTGTTAAGCCCTTTTTCCCCTTGACTAAAGATATATAATAAATATATATATATAATGTTGAACATAAGTTAATGTTACATTTTCATTTAATTCGCCTATTATAAAACTATGATTATCAGCTATGTTTTGTACGCTGGCTTTAATTAAATATTTTAATTTTTAAGCGAGATACGAGCATGTGAAATATTTTGCAATATTTAAATTTCTAAGATAATTAATATGAGTAACTATGTGTAATATCACAATTTAATAAATCTGTCTGTCTAGCTTAAAAATTATAATGTTGAAGAAAAACCAGCGTAAACACAAAGACAATATTACCTTTAAGTTTCATAATATTAAAGGCAACCATATAAAATTGTTACTACTGAACGAAAATTTGATATTATCCAATTTTCAACATTAGTCATAATCTAAATATATATAGGGAATCTAATATAAATATACAATTTTCTTGCATAACAATCATAAAAATTATATTGTTTACTCAACAGGTAATAATCGTTAAAATGGAAAACGACTCGTATGAAATATTGTGCCAAGGTGCGTTAATCAGCCACGATTGGATTTTAACGTCAGCTTCTTGTATTAACCGGTGAGTAAAAGAGTAAACATGTTTTAAAAAAAAATTTCCTTTCAAAAAATATTTGCATTGTATATTTCAGAGTAAGCTTTTTAGTAGAAAAAGTAATTGCATAAAAAAAAAAAAATAAATAATAAACATCTTTGTAAAACCAATACATTCTTCGCTCCATTCAGAATCTAAATGACTACCTTGAAGTACCAAATAGATAAAATTGAATTTCAGAAAAAGTGATACTCTTGATACATCGGAGAAAAATGTCTGGTAGTAATTTTGTACACAGTGTATAAAAAAAAACTTAAATAAATAAACATTATTGTAAAACAGCCATCGCTTTGCACAGAATCTAAAACTCCTACGTTAGGCACAATTTTTTTTTCTCCACTAAGTCCACTTTTATGATGCACCATGTATTAATGTTTTTTATATTTTTGTGGGATCAAACCATTTTTATCCATATAAAACCAAACAAACTCTAAAGTTTTAAATCGCTATAAATAATTCAAAAGTCACTAGAATATTTTGAAAATTTTACCGCGACTAATAGAAGACCAATTCGGTACAAATTTTAGGTCTTTAAGATTAATTTTAACAAAATTACAATAAAAAACCAAATCGCTAAGTAACACAGACTGAATTTCCGCATAAAAAAATATAAGAAAAATTAAAAAAAAAATTTTCTTATTGAATCAACTAAATAAAATCTTCTACTAGAAATGACATCAGAGTAAAACTATCACATCATAGCTTCGCTCAGAATAATTTTTATCCACATTTATTTTGTCGGTTTTAATTCATTAAACGATTTGTCTGAAAATACAAGAAAATTATTTTATTAGATAGACGGGCCAGGTGAGGAGGTTGCTCCCGTCCTCTACCTCGTCCTTTTCATACAGAGGACGTCCTTTTTAGAAGCTTCAATGTTACATCTCTTGATCTGGGCATATTATACTACACTTGACACTTTTTGTATATTTCTGTCATTTACTACAGAAATGTCTATTATAACATTATATAGATGTTAAAGTGCAGGGATCCGATTAAATGAGAAATAATACACAACTAGTGTGCTATATACAGGAACTCAGAACATTTGAACTCAGGAAATTTTTTGGCATTTTTGGGCGTACGAGACCTTAAAGATCCCAAAGTAAATGCTCGTGAACTTAAGTACACTAAATTGCATCCAAATTATGACACGGAAATGGATGATGGCAATGACGTAGCATTGTGCATGGTGAGTATTTATTTTAAACAATTATTATTTTCATATCAGTTGCTCGGTGATTTTTTTTTTTTTTTTTTGAAAATCGTCAAAAGTGCAGAAGATTTAAATCACAGTTCTACATTATTTCCAATATAAGTATAACAGTTAGCTATAAATCATAATTAATAGAATAATGAACTCATGTATCAGAGAAATGATGACAGGATAGAAGAAGGAGGGTAAGGCCGAAACAGAGGTGGTTGGATACGATTGAGAATAATATGAGGACAGCTGGTGTATGTAAGGTGGGAGATTGAGTCAAGTGGAAGTTTAAGACAATGACGGCCAACCTAGATTATTTGAGATGAAGGCGAAAGAGAAGAAGACGAATAATCGAATAATGATTACAATACGGATAACTTTTAAAGTTATAATCAAGTTCTATATTACATAATATTATAATACTTAATAAAAAATATGCATAGAAAAATAGTATTAGAGACTCAAAAGACATATAACAGTCTTTTCAATCTCAGACATCAATGATACTTAATTGTAAAATATTTAATTTAATTAATTTTATAATTATTTCACCTTTCAATCATAAATGTATTAAAATATACTATGATATTTTATTTCTTCGATTACTTAACACATAGAGTAGGACTCAATGGCATAGCAATAATAACAAAATATTAATTTTATTACTTTTTTTTGCGTGTTCGAATACTATTTCAAATACTTTTCGAAGAAAATGTTCAAATACCGTTTTACTAATATATTCGAATATCTGTTTTAAACGCGAGTCTCGTATTACATTTTGACTGTGGTATACCTGATGATGAATTATTTATTCAAAACCGGTCATATAAAATACTTATCATAATACTCCAGGCGACGCATTCGTGCATTTATTTATTTTATTTTTATAAATACATTTTTTATTTATACATTTGTTCACTATATCTTTCTTTTGTTGAGAAAAAAATATGAATTTAATGTTACACTATTCCAATATTAATAAAAAAGTTTAAGATGCTAATAAAATGTTTCAGATTTAAACTTGGTATAATAAGAAAGGAGTTTGATTAATAACAAACAAATTTTAATTTTCGTTATTTTTATTTTGTAAAATAAATGTATTTTACTTAAATGTATTAATAAAGAATTGTGTCTGCTTTTTGATGCTTATCCCCATAAGCGTGCACAAAAATCTTTAGCAAAAAGAATTTTAATATTTTGGAAGGTAGCTTAAGCGATAAGCCCCAATAATATTGATTATGTATTCTTAGTATTTACTTGATGAGGACTTTATTTTAGGAGGCATGATTGAATACTCGGGGAGGGCGTCTAAATCCTCCAAAGCCTCTTCCCTTTTTGCGCCAACGCACAAAATTAAGGGTAGCTTAGGATTTAATATTAAAAAAAAAATGTATGTCTAATATATTTTTTTAAAAATATTTTAGTTGAAAATCTCGCAGAGTAGGCTGCTGCATCTCCTATCTCGTGCGCACGCTTATGTTTATCACTTCCTGATCTATTTTTAAATAATTGTCAACATTTAAAAAATAATTGGAATTAATTTTCATTCGATTAATTATGAAAAATATATATAAATATGTCCACTTAAATATAACTACCCATACAGTGTACATACTAACGATCGAATAATAAAAAAAAAAAAATGAAGAAATTGTTAAAATTGACAATTTTGATTATTTCTTCAGCCTCTCTGTGAATAAAAAAATATTTGTTATATACCAACGATAATTTTTGTTTTACTACCCAATATTAACGGTTGGGCAAAGAAAATGTTATATTTTAAAATTGGGGGAGCCGTGGAAATATATATTACTGTAAAGTATTTGTACAGTTTGACTAGGTATCCAATAATAATTATAAATTTATAAATAACAATAAAAGCTGTAGTTATTTAAATAGTTGTAAACTATAATATAAAAAATGTACTTGCCTAAACTTCAGAATTTAAATTCAAATAGATTGAATATTATTATGTATCAACATAATACTATGTATATGCAAAGTGACAACGGAAAGCCAATTGTGATTATAGTTAAACAAAATTTCACTGTAACGTCTGTTTTCGAGAACTGAGTACTATAATAAACGTGTAGGTACTTTTATTTAGGTATATTAGTTGATGACAGCAGCTGTGAGTAAAACTCAAAAATAATATTCTCATTCCAAGATAAATACTAATGATGGTGGTCAGTCGTTAACGTGACTGCTTATGAATAAATTGGACTGGATGTACAATGATAATTTATTATGATTTAAACTAGATTTAAATTTAAAAAAAATACAATATTATTGTGTTTTTTTTTTTTTTATTAACTTTAAATATTCGTGTATATGTACAATAGTCAATAACACTATTTTTCATCGGCCAATTTTTGTCAGTTTAGGTAGCAGCCCACCGGGAATATCCCAGAGTCCCGGTGGGCCTATCCGCTCCTATAGAAATGGATTCCAAAGACATGCAACATAAAAAACGGCTGTCTTCCGATGACAAATATTGTATTAGCCAAATTAATTCCACAGAAACCAAAGATAGTGGTGTTTAGACAGTAGACTAGTAGATGTTTGACTGTAACAGGTTCATCTCAAGTTTGGCACAGTATTGGTTCTTTCTTTCGCATAAGATGATGATGGGACGTCTTTGAATGGTCTATTCACAGTTTTATTAAAATAACTTCGTCTTTGCGATTGAAAAATTTGGGTTTATGCCAGTATATGGAAGTACAGTAGAAACTCGATTAACCGTCAGTCACGGGACCAGGACTATGGCGGTTAATCTATTAGAGGGTTAACAGACATATTTTGTTCTTTTGAAGCATGCGCTTTCTGAGTAGCAATGTTTTGTATTTTACGAAAAAGTAAGACGGCGACCGATAGCGGATAACAGAGAATCATGGTTAATCGAATTTCTACTGCAGTTTTGATTTCCCAAAGTTTGTTATTTGGTGTGCATCGTAATTCAGATTCCCATGGATTGTGTAATAAATGTTAACATGGGTATGTATATCAATAAGTGAGGAGTGAGAGCGTATTTCCGTTCTGGGGTTATTGAGTGCTTTCCGCACTACTTTGTCGGCCTTCTCATTGCCATCAATTCTAAAATGGTCCGGTATCCATATGAACCGTATGTTCTTTTAAGCCTTTGAAATGATATTGCTAATTTTAATAGCTAGGCTACTTGAATGAAGGTTACACTTTAGACTGTTAAGAGCACTGAGTGAATCAGTATAAATGTTTATACAAGGATCAGATAATTTGATGGCTAAATAAACTCCATCGAGCAGGGCTATGTATACAGCTATATAAATACTATTATGGTCTAAAAGTCTGTAAGATAAGGCATTAATAATTATAATAATTCAAACTCCTAGTTGATTTTGGAAGCATCTGTATAGATTTACGAGCTTCGAGGTTCGAATATTAATATCGTTTTTAAAAATAAGATACATTTTAGTTTTTTCTTGTGGGAAGGTAAAGCCTAAGTATAAACTCCAGTAAGATAGGTTATTAAAGCAATTTTTTTGTAGATGAGGAAAATATTTAATTTTTTTTCTCTTATATCTGATTGATTATTGATTGTTGTTAGAAACAGTAGAATGCTTAGAGAAGATCTTTGTATAACTCAAATTTCAAGTATGAAAATATATATACATATTATACTATAAAATAATATATAAACAATAATCAAGTAATATAATATTAATTTATTTTAATTTCTAATGTTAAACTTCTGTCACGTATCTACTTTTAGGTAATTTATAAATAATAATGTTACTAGGTGTAATCATATTTTTTTGTCAATAAATATATTTTGATTAGTACCTATGTTTCAGCTCGAGGGAGGAATTAGTGAATATACAGAAAACACGGAAATCGTTTATCTGATTGATCCCTCAGAAACGAGAATATTGGATTGCAAATACAGTAGTTTTATTGTGAGTCAAAAATAATATATTATGACCGTATATAATTCATTAAACGCCAAACGCATATTGTGATTATGTATACGTTTAGAAGTAGTTTTGTTGAATTTCCGTATCTAGGTATACGAAATTCAGAAAGCTCTAATGAAATATGTATCCCAAGTATTATGAACAAAAAGCAGAATAATGCCATTATTCGTATTTCAGGGACAGTATCTGTACGGACAATCAGTCAAGATGCAAGTAGAATTCGACGATTGCGAAAAAATCGGTGTTCTTGACGACATATATTATTGCGCGGTAATGAATGACACGATTCACGCAAAAAACAAGGTGATTAAACGCAATACATACAGAATAATTCACTGAGCGTACTCACCCCATTCGTTTGGTTAAATTTTGTATATATTCAAATTCCGATTCTTGGAATTTTTAAGTGTAATTAAAGTCGATATTTTTGAATACTTAGGTTTTTCATAACAATTAAGGAGTATCCTGTGGCAATCCCAACTTTGGTTTTTCAAATGAGAACCTATATTAAATATTCCATATAGTAGATGAAAAATTATTTAAAATACATTTTGGTGTTGACTTTCAAGTGTAGGGGGACTAATAAAACGCCGCACGCCATACCACCACACAAATTATACGTCACTACATTCCCTTTATCTAAACTTAAAAGTAAAATATCTCGTCAACGGGGTGACAGAAATCAATAATTTCAATACCAAAATGTATTTTAAATAATACTTCATATATTTATAGAATTTTCAATATAGGTTCTCATTTGAAAAACCAAAGTCGGGATCGCCACAGGATTCTTCTTAAATATTATGAAAAATCTAAGTATTCAAAAATATCGGCTTCAACTACACTTAAAAATCACAAAAATCAGAATTTTAATAGATATAAAAGTTACCAAAATAATGGGATGAGTACGCTTTGTGAGTTGCGGTTCTCTATATTCGGTAATATTATCTGTAAAATAATATTTGTTACCAACCCACTTAAATTTAAATGGAACCGTGGCTTTCTAATATTTATCTGCAAGATGTGTCTATTTTTCAGGAATATGATTTGGGATCACCTCTCACGTGCGGGGGTAAGTTGTACGCAATAAGAAATATTCATGGATATTTTACTACAGTTTTCTCTATTTCGAATTTGATACTTCACACGATGGACGAGTTAAGTTTATTGGTAAGTAAAAACGTATTTTTTTTCTACCTATAGTATCCGCTTAATCACTGAACATTTCATTAATACAACTATTGTTGATCGCTTTATTTACTATTGTGATAATGCACTATTTCAATATTTTATAATGTTAATATTTGTATCAAATTTCTAATTTATTAGACTAGAACAATGCAGTTTAAAAGCCTATAAAACAAAAATCTAATAAATGGCACCTACAACCGTTTAAAGAATAGCCGCAAATCCATTGAAGCAAACTCGAATGATTAGATTCTCCGGGCATCCAGCGTTATTAATGAAAAATAATTGTTGAGCAATGAAAATGATATGCTATAATAACAATTTACAAAATAATCTTTTTCGTAGCAAATTTTACATGGTATATTATACCATTATATCCCAAAGGTGAATTTTTCAAATTCATGAAATGGGCATTTTCTTGCACGATTCGTAGAATAGTCAAATATGGCTAACAAACTGCCCATTTTATGAATTGAGCAAAACTAGTGATACACAAATATTTCGAATATTTTCAATATTTATCAAACAATTATTTTAATAAATTATGAATAATTATATATTTGTTAGGTATTATTTTTTTATTGATCCGATACAACTTCAGCAGCATTGGCCATTAGTTATTTTTAGTTAACATTTTGTTTACTTAAATGATAATTAGATTTATATGTTAAGTATATATACATTATGTTAATATATTAGATTATTTTTTGATATTTTATAAATTACATAAGTTTAAATATTAAATATATTTTATATTTAAAATTCTCCGATCATAGTGTTTATTATTGAACTCCTCCGAAACGGCTTGATCGATTTTCATGAAATTTTTCGTGTATATTTGATAGGTCTAAGAGTTGGTCGTCAAGTATTTTTTACCTTTCTACTCCCACCCACTATTTTATAATAGCGGTTTAAGTATTTTTGCTTATACATACACGTGCAACACCAAATAATTTAGTTTACAATATAATAAATATATTTTTTTTGCAACGCCGAGCGCGGGACAGCTAGTAATATATAATATTATCCAGTTTAAAAATGTAAGTTAAGCATTATTGTTGTTAATCTTAATTGTTTATATATTTATTAAAGTTAATAATTTCAAGACCTGATGCACACTGTTACTTGAGCCGAAATTATATTTTTAAGGCACGTATACATTTGCGAGTCTAACCTATCGTAAATGTAACCGGAACGGTTTGTAATCGCAAGCCGCTCATAATCCATTCCCGCGAATTCACCGAGGGACGGTTTTCGCCAAACACAAACTGAACCAATAGTAAGTTTTTGCGACATTTTGACTGGTTCATCGACATCTGAGGAGATACTAATGCTAATTATGTTTGTTTTGCTCGTCACATGGTTCAAAAGTGACTCGCAAGTGTATGTGTATATTGAAATGCAATTTTCACAGATTATTTATATTAGTTTTTTCTAAAATTTTCAAACTTTGTTGCGATTTTTTGGTTATTTAGAGATATTTGATATTTTTGAATTTTCTTTAGTTTTTATCTGGTTTTATGTAAGCCACATTCAGTTTTTTTTAATGAAATGTTTGAATACTTTAGTACAAGGTTTAATATGGGTTGAACTCGGTGGTAAAATAAAAAGTCGAGCAGAAAGTAGTAGTTTTTTTTTCGCAAGCGTTTAATGATCGAATTTTGACGAAAATCGTAAAAATTATGACATTTAAAAACAGGTGTAACCGAACTTTGTTCGAAATCGTAGCAATGGTTTATTTTAAATATAAATTAAATAGCTTTACGTATCCTACCTTTTTGTGTTCTAGCTAAGCATTAAATTATGATAAATCTGAATAAATAAATAATAAATAGGCCTTGGGGTACCAAAAAGTAAAAATGTAAAACAAAAATATCAGTTAACGCTTTTTATCTATTAGGTCACTGAATTATGAATTTATTAGTGATCGTGGCAACGTAATTTTGAAAATTGTATATCGACGTATCGTATACAATTAAATTGAAAATATGTATACTTAAGTACATATATCTACTTAATTTTATGTTGTACAATAATAAGTTTACAATTTATCTGACTCTTAAAAAATCGTTTTTTAACAAAAAAAAAAAAAAAGAAAAAGAAAGAAATACATTTTTATTTTATTATTTTCACTTTGGAATAATTATTTAATATTTTATGTGTATGTGTGCTGCATTTAGAGTTCTATTTGATCCATCACTATAGAATAAATTTAATGTTAGGCACCTACACTATCTCGCGCACAATAAAAATTAGTCTTGTTTAATAATTTAATCCCGACATTTGTAATAATTAACATAATATTATAATATTAATACAGTTAATTTAATATTAGGTATATAACCGTGTACAGTACGGTGTGATGGGGAATCGAAATTGCATATTATTTAAACGGCTTTGACGCACTTATAATAATAATAATAATAATAATAATAATATCATTATCACGCGACCTTAAGAGGAAGTACCAGCGTCGACGAACTATACTAGATACCTATAATACTTGCCCTTTGTTCGTTACAGGTCACCAAAATTAATATTTCAATAATATTGTCCGATCACCAAACGCATTTTCCATTTTAAATGATCCGGGCCACGTTTCCATTGATTATCTATACCGCAGAAATAATGTAATAGTAAAATAGGTTAATATTTATTTCCGCTATTGTCGGTTTTATCCGGAAAGATATATTGTTTCCAGATAAATTAGAATGTACAGTGCAGTTATATTTTCGTGTACCAAAATATTATTAGTAAAATAACACGCGCGTAACATTTTATTTCTGACCTCGTCAAACGGTTTCCCGATACAGGCTGCCGTCTGTCTAAAGGCGCGGTTTACTATGTGCGACTGAACGCAACGACTAGTCGTAATTACCAGAAGCTGCGTACCGGACTGGCGGTTTCCCGTGTGCGACTGCGTTTTGCGACCGGTGTATAATAATAGTCCAATTTAACCGAGGATTCAGTAGCGCGCAGACACGACTATGATTTTTGTTATTTTAATAATATTATTGTAACGTAAATTATTAAGCGAACTACGACGGAGAAAACTATTATTGATAATAATAGCATAATTAGTCTTCTAATAGAGGAAGAAAAAGGGGAACACTACTAACTCGACTAAAAGTTCGTCCTCGTTTGTCAAAAATATCGATTGAATAGTTTTTGACATGGTTATTATTTAATAATTATAATTATTTAACACATAAATTCATTAATTTTGCCATTGATCACTAAAAAAAAAATAACCCACAAATAGTATTTGTCATGCTATTTTCATTGAATATATGAATAGATGCATACGACCCACATAAACAACACTGCTACCGGATCCGTATAGTCGCAAGCCGCAACGATTGTTTTCGACACGCACGCATCGATCGCACATTGGAAACCACGTTCGTAGATTAAACACAGGTTTGCGATTAATCGTTGCGTTCGGTCGTTGCGGCCAGTCGCACATTGAAAACCGCGCCTTGGTATAATACAACACCTCACAGATAAAGTAACCCAAACGACCATCGATATCTACTAATATTAATATGTCTGATCTATCTGACGTCGCCTGTACTTATTTTCCACGGTGGCGAGACAACAATTTTATTATTACGTGTACAAACAGTTACACCAAATGCAAATACCTACTTAATACTTATATTACAAGTCTTTATAAACGATAACCCGATAACTAAAGGTACGTATTTGCTTTATTCCATACTTATTAGTTAATAATACATATTTATAATTTAGCATTTTCTTGTCATTCAAATTATAACAAATACAATTGGTATTTGAATGAATAAAACAAATATTTCTTTTTATTAAGTATTACTGTATTAGTCTGAAGACATTTTGCTATTGAAATGTTTGATTTCCGTCAATTTGTTGACGAGTTTACTTCTGAAATGTTAAAAAATAAAAAACAATCTCGAAAAAGTTAATACTTTTCGAGGTATCACAATTTGTATATCAGTATATCAATGTGATAGTACACCCTGCATACGAGCTGGAGTATTAATATACATTAGTGATTTCCTATGCAATTTCTTAGGAAATTGTTAAAACCTGTGTATAGACACCAACAGTTTATTTTTTACGATGTAAAAACAGTATAAGGTGAAATGATAAAATGCATAAAACAAATTCATACTTTTGGAAATATAAACGTTAAAACAACGATTTTTTACAAACTATTGTTTAATCTGTTGATACCGAATCTTATTCTTTGTATTAACGACAGTTGTTTAGCACCTAAATTATTATTTGTTTAGTATACACTATTACAATTGTCTGTAATTTGTTGGTATCAGATACAAATTATTATTTAAAACGAATAAACGTATAAATAATATTGTTAAATACACTTTTCCCGTTGGGTGTTCCGATCGCGTGTGTGCCCTTCCCAATTGAAATCGTTTATTATACCTGTATAATAGATACATATTGGTAGGCGTGTGGTTCTACTAATAAAAATTATTATCAACATGATATAATATTTTATATAAAAAAAAAAAAAAAAAACAAGTGAAATATTAGATTTGTGGGTATTTTCGGTATTTGAATGAAAGTTATATTCATTATAACACATAACATTATATGAACATAAATCGTATTAATATAATAATGTGACCACCAATTATATTTTCTACCATTTGATAACAATTATCGATTGTAAATCAACATTCTCGAAATTATTTTCTGCAAGGTGTTAAAAAGACACGATTGAAATGGACAAAGGTATAAGCTATGGGGCATAATTTAGTTAAAAAACATACATCGTCGTCGTTGACAAAAAACTCATTATTCTGAGCGAAGCTCGGTTTACAATTTCTTTTCCGAATTGGAATTAAAAATTGTATTTATTTATTACTAAACTTGTCGTTGAAATACTTAAAAACTAAATACTTAAATTTAAATACTTTTTAATTTTTTATTTTTATTCCCCCCCCCCTAAAGTTTTTTTTTTTTAATATATTTACTGTACTGTCGAGGCATACTAATTATTCGGAAAAAACATTGAATAGAACAAAAGCTATTTCAAGTGGCACATCGCCGTGGGTCACCCTATATAATATATATATATAGGTGTATCTACGAAACTTTATGGAAATATCGTTTACAAATATTATTATCCGCCATAATCTCCGGGAGTTATCATTATAATATTATTGTTTTGCGGCCTAATTAATCCCTAAAATTTCGTTGTTTCGCGCATTAATGTTATTATTTATCGTCCCGTTTATAAAGTATTCCGCACAAATACTATTATAATTCGAAGTTCGGCATAATATTTGCAGAATTATTACCCAACTATTCGCGCTGGCTGTACATCATAATGATAATACAATAACATTCGATAATGTTTTTATAATTTTCTGAAAACATTCGCGAACGAGCTCTTTTGCTTTCGTTTATATATATATAATATAATACGTGATGTACTAGTGCTGTCAAAGTTAATTTAAGTTCAAAACAACTCGGGTTTTTCGATAAACACAATTAATTATTTTTTACTTTTTTTGTTTTTTTTTTTTTTTTTAAGCCCCGCTGTAATACTATTTAATAATTTATGTTTTATTTCGTTTTCACATTCTCGTCATCGATTGTCCGGTGTATATGAATACTATTT